TTTTGGAAGTCCGTGGAAGGTTTAGGCATGGATTGGCGAAATTGAGATTTCGGCGCTTTCTGGTTGATAGATGAGATTTTGATATAAAGGTCGGAATGAAATTCCGAGAGTTGCAGTAGCTTCATTGTGTTATTTGGAATGTGTGTGCAAAATTTCAGGTCATTCGGACAAGATTTGATAGACCTTTTGAGCGAAAGCATAATTTAAGAGTTCTTGGAGTTCTTAGGCTTGGATCCTATGTTAAATTGGTGATTGGATGTTGTTGTGAGCATTCCGAAGTTTTGAGCAAGTTTGAACGATGTCATGGGATGTGTTGGTACAATTGGTTTGAAGTTCCGGGAGTTTCGAGTAGTTTTTGGGATGTTTTAGTGCAAAAATCATAGCCGTAGCAGGTCCACAGGGGTTGCAGGCCACAGAACTCACTCACGCGGTCCGCACAAAAATAAGTGCGCCCGCGGTGAGTGTTGAGAGGACCGCACAAAAGCGGACGCGGCCGCGGTAGGCGTCGCGCGGACCGCACAAAAGTGGGCGCGACCGCGGTGAAGAACCTTCCCGTTTGTCCTACTTCGGAAGCTTATATCTTTTGATCTACAAGGAATTTTAAGGTGATTCAAAAACGAAAGTTGTAGCTTATCGTAATTTAGACATATCTAGCGAACGTTATGGTCCAAATACTAAAGCCTATCACTGCAGAGGAAGGCCTGTGCGTCCGCGGTTGTTTTTGCACGGACCGCACTGGCTAGCGCGGCCCGCGGTCGATTTGGGGCGGCCCGCGGTGGCTAAAATCTTAGGGGTACTCTATAAATATGAGGTCTTTGATTTTATTTGATATTTTGACCTAGAGAGCTCGGATTTTGGCGATTTTTCGAAGGTTTTTCAAGAAATTCATCGGGGTAAGTGATTCTAACTCAGATTTGGCTAGAGTACATGAATCTATCATTGAATTCATCATTTAATCCGTGATTTGGAATGGAATTTGGGAAGAAAATGGTGAAAACTTTCAAAAATGTAAAATGATGATTTGAAGGGCCAAATGATATCAGAATTGGATAATTTTTGTATGGTTAAACTCGTGAGAGCATAAGGATTCTAGTTTTGTGAATTTTGTCAAATTTCGAGACGTGGGCCCGGGGCTCAGGTTTTGGTAATTTCGAGAATCGTGCCCTTTATTGATTGTTTTCGTTTGGGCTTTGTTCCCTTAGCATATTGTGACGTATTCGTTCTGATTTTGGATAGATTCGACGCACGTGGAGGCCGATTTGAGGGGCAAAGGCATCGCGAGCTAGAGATTTCGCCGATTCGAGGTGAGTAATGATTGTAAATGATATCTTGAGGGTTTGAAACCCCGGATTTGCACATCGTAGTGCTGTATTGAGGTGAGAACGCGTTGGATGACGAGCGTGGGGTCTTTTACTATTGGGGATTGTGACTTGGTCCGTACCGATTGATGATTTTACCGCGTATTTAACTGAAAACTAATTGTTATCATCATTATTTGGGCTGAATGCCATCTTTGGGCCTAGTGCCAGCTATTTGAACCCTTCGGGGATTGTTGTTTGATATTTCCTCACTGTTTGATTATATAGTTGAACTCAGTCATGTTATTTTCTACTGTTTTCAAAACTCAGCCATGTTTACTCTGCTCTAACACTTGAATGGTATTTTAAATAATATTTTGGGTTGAACATCATGTTTTACTGTTGCCCGAGGGGCTTATGTGAATTTTGACTGAGTAAGGCCGAGGGCCTGTATTGTGAGGATACTCTTGGATCGGGCTGCACGCTGTAGTAGTGAGATACTGATTTATATGAGGCCGAAGGCCTAGATTTGATGCCACAAGATGGCTTGATATTGCGCTTGGGCCGTAAGGGGCCCCTCCCGGAGTCTGTACACCCCAGTGAGCATCGTCGACGATAAATGGATCGGGCTGCACGCCGCAGCTATATATGGATCGGGCTGCACGCCGCAACGGTGTTGGTACTATTCTATGTGTTTACTTTATTTCATTTGTCTGCCATTATCTGTTGTTGTGCTACTTCATGTGATATCTATTTGATTGCCTGACATTATCTGTTAATTGAGTGTTGCACCCGAGGGGAGGATTTCCATGCTTATCTACACTATTTGTTTTGTATTCATTTGCGTAACTGTTGAGAAAGTCATTTTCAAAAGAGTTTTAAACTGAGTTAAGATATTTCTAAAGATTTCACAGCTTCACTATTTTTCTCAAAGGGTTTTCACTGCCTCTCTACAGCATGTTGGTTGCCTTACGTGATTTCTTACTACTCAGTTGTTATTTACCTTTATTACTCACTGAGTTGGAGTACTCACTTTACTCTCTGCACCTTGTGTGCAGATGCAGGTATTTAAACACCCAGTAGTGGGTTTTGATCCGATCGGAGCCTAAGTTATCGGAGTTTAGCAAGGTGACCGCCAGCGTTCGCGGCACCGCATTTCTTCCTTTTGTTTATCAGTCCTATTTTGTATAATTCAGACTGTGTAGTTGTACTTATACTCTAATAGATGCTCGTGACTTGTGACACCCCGATTTGGGATGTGTCGGGATGGTTTATTCTATTGTCATCGTTATTTCTGCAAATTATGGCTATTATATTTTGTTTAGAACTGTTTATGATATTTAACTATTTAAAAGAAATGTTCCGTTTTGGTCTGGCTGACCTTGTTTTCACGAGAGTCGTCATCACAACCGGGTTCGGGTATTGGGTCGTGACAAACATGGAGTGCGAGACTACAAAAGGTGAGATAACTGTACCGGTAAACACCGCTTGGACCACCCAAGAAACAAAGTTCTATGAGATCAAAGGGGATATGAGGTCAATGCTTTGCTTGGAAGGCCATGGGTCCACAAAATGAGGGTGGTGCCTTTGACCTTACACCAGGCGCTGAAATTTCCCACTCCAAGAGGAGTCAAAATGGTCTATGGAGAACAGCCAACCGCAGGGGAAATGTTCGATGTCGATGAAGTGATCGATACGTGTGGTTTCAACATCAAAAAGCGCGGAACCAACCAAAAAATAAGAAACTAAATATCAATCAATGATACTGGCCTCGAATGAGCCGGGAAAACAAAGAGCACAGAGCGTATGATGAGGACAATTACAGTGTCTCGAGATCATTCATTGCACCCGACGCCACCAAATCAACGATCGAGGAGCTGGAGCAAGTTATATTGATCGATCAACTACCGGATCGAAATGTATACCTGGGCACAGGGTTAACCCCCGAGCTCAGGAAAAAACTTATTGATTTTATTACAGCTAATGCCGATTGTTTTGGCTGGTCCCATCTAGATATGACAAGGATCCTACTGGAGGTAACCACTTACAAGTTGATCTTGGATCCAAAGATACATCCGGTTAAGCAGAAGAGAAGGCCAGAGCCCGAGATTAAACATGCATTCATCAAGGGCGGGGTATCCAAATTTCTAAAAATAGGTTCTATCCGGGAACTTAAATACCTGGATTAGTTAGCTAAGGTAGTGGTATGTCGAAAAAAGGTAATAAACTAAGGATGTGTTTAGATTATAAGGATCTGAACAACACATATCCAAAGGATTATTTCCCTTTGCCTAACATCAATCGAATGATCGGTGCGACGGTTGGACACGAGATACATAGTTTTCTCGATGCCTACTCCGAGTACAACCAAATTCGAATGGAGACAGATGATCACGAAAAGACCTTCTTCATAACCAAATTAGGCACCTACTGCTATAATGTAATGTCACTCAGATTAAATAACTCCGGTGCCACATACCAATGCCTAGTCAACGGGATGTTCGAAGAACAAATAGGAAAATTAATGGAAGTTTATATTGATGATATGCTGGTTAAGTCCTTGCGAGAAGAGGACTATTTGAAACATTTGCAGGAAACCTTCGACATATTGAGAAAGTACAACATGAAGCTAAACCCGAAGAAGTGCGCATTTGTGGTCAACTCGGGCAACTTTCTCGGATTCATGGTATCTAATCGGGGAATAGAGATCAACCCCGACAAATAAAGGCCATGGAGGACATCACCGTAGTCAACAACGTCAAGGGAGTACAAAAACTGACCGAGCAGATAGACGCTTTGGGCCAGTTCATCTCGAGATTGTCAATTAAGAGTCATCGATTCTTCTCACTATTGAAAAAGAAGAAGAACTTCTATTGGACTCCGGAATGCCAGCAAGCTTTGGAAGAACTCAAGCGCTACCTATCAAGCCCCCCTTGCTGCACACTCCGAAGGCAAATGAATAGATGTACCTCTACTTGGCGATTTTTGAGGTGGCGGTAGGTAGTGTCCTAGTCCGAGAAAAAAAAGGTACACAATTTCCTATTTATTATGTTAGTATAACCCTAAGCGATACCGAAACAAGGTATGATCACCTAGAAAAATTAGCATTCTCCCTACTAAGCGCTTCTAGGAAATTAAAATCGTACTTTCAATGTTACCCTATATATGTCCTGACCTCTTACCCAGTGAGGAATGTCATGTATATGCCCGAGATCTCGGGCCGGCTAGCCAAATGGGTCGTAGAGATTAGCGGGTATAATATCAAGTATAGACCCTAGACTGCCATAAAATCTCAGATTTTGGCTAACTTTATGCCAATCTTGATACCCGAGGTCGAAAGGGAATTGCTGTTCACTTCGGGGACTGGCTCGAGGATCTAGACCCCTATTCACGGATGGTGCCTCCAATGCAAGAGGGTCAGGGATCGGTATCGTATTAAAACCATATGCGGTAACGTAATTAGACAGTTCGTTAGAACTGTGAAAGTGACTAACAATAAAGCCGAGTATGAAGCTATAATTGCAAGTCTAGAACTAGCTAAGAGCCTTGAGGCCAAAGTGATCGAAGCCAAATATGACTCCCTTCTTGTCGTAAATCAAGTTAATGAAATGTTCGAAGTAAAAAAGGAATGATTGCGGAGGTACATGGACAAATTGCAGGTGACCCTACATCAATTCAATGAATGGACTCTGTAGCACGTACCTCGGGATCAAAATAGTGAGGCTGATGCATTGGCCAACTTGGGGTCATCTGTCGACTCCGATGAATTCGACTCGGTGGTAGTGGTACAACTGATGAACTCGGTCATAGAAAAAGGTCACGCCAAAGTAAACTCGGCAAGTTTGACTTGGGATTGGAGAAACAAATGCGTAGACTGCCTGAAGACAAGAAAATTGCCATCACATCCCAAGGAATCGAAAGCCCTGCGCACCAAAGCTGCCAAGTTTAGCTTGTCACACCTTTTTTTTACCTACCCCCGAAAGGGTATATGGGAGTTTTTTCCAATTTAAAGTGATAATCGAAACGGGATCATTTTATTAAAATTCAGAGTCGCCACTTGGAATAATTTTATGGTGTCCCAAGTCACCGATCCAAATCCCGAATCAAGGAAAAGATTGACTCTGTATTACAGTCCGCGAACACAGAAATCCGGGTAAGGAATTCTGTTAACCCGGGAGAAGGTGTTAGGCATTCCCGGGTTCCGTGGTTCTAGCACGGTCGCTCAACTGTTATAATTGGCCTAATTATCCGATTTTTACACGTTTTAAACATATTGTACATTTTTTTAACTTTTTAGCCGCTTTTAATATTTCGGAAAAATTCAAGGTTATTTAAAACACATCATAAGCCACGCTACATGAAATGCACCCATGGTTCACGACACGTTCTATTTAACCTTGTTAGAAATTGAAGTCGGGTCACATGAAATGCACACCCGGATTTGAAGATTTATGTATCACGACTATGCCACGGGAATTATACCCATAGTCGTGATGATTTAATATTAATCATGCCTAAAGCCACTAGCACACTTAAATTATGTTTCTAATCTTTGAGATTACCGGTGAAGCTATTGAATTAAGGATAACACATTCATGTGGAAAAAATGCTTGTAACAAAATTTCATTTTTTTCTTTTATTGTCTTTGCTATACGTTTAACTCATTCATTGTTTTTATGAGAATAATAACAGGAGTGATTCTTAGTCAAACTATTTAATGCTTAACATAATGATTAACCTCGAATTGTTGATTTCAGATTTCATATGAATTTGGTCTAACAGTGGAATAACTCCCTTCCAATGGACCATAGGCAACTAAGTATATGTGTAATTTAATTATTATCTTCCTAAATTCCAAACCAAGTGTCCACTATACATATTAATATAATAACACACTTATAAGATTTAGTAGCACATTTTACGATTTAAACTACATCTAACTAAATTTTAGGCTAGCTATGAAAACTAAGAATGAAAACAACAATAGCAAAAAGAAGCTGCTGAGCTATCACGCTCCCAAACAAAAAATGATATTAGAAATAAATTAAAATGATAAGAGTGAAGAACAAATGGATAAAACAGTCATATGCCAAAATAAATATCCAAAATTTAAGAGTTTAAGAAATGAACCTTTTTTTAACAGGAACAACTTCTAATTCTTGAATAAGCATCAAATAAAGACCTGGATCGGAAGACTCGACGACTTCGCTTCACTCAACTTTGGAGCTGCTCACTTTGTGCTTTTATTGATCTGTTTTGAGCTGGGTTCGGAGCAGTTTTTATGGATTTTGGCTGCAGTTTTTTGAAGGAGATGAAACTAGTCTTTTGGGTGAAAGGGGGCTATTTCGAGCTGCATTTCAGAGGCTGCTCTTGCTAAATTTTTGAGCTGAGATGATGGTGTTTTGGAGAGATAGGGAGAAGAAGGGACGATGTAGGGATTGAAAGTTGATTGACAAAGTGGAACAAGACCGATTTCTGGGAGGTGAAGTTGAAGGATGAAAAGTCAGAAGAATGAGTGAATGTGAAAATGGGTTTGTTGGGAATCAGTGAAGTATTTGGAAGTGAAGGAAATGTAGAAGAAGGCAGCAGCTTTCTACGGTTTCTCTTGGAAAATCGGAGTTCGTTCCTAGCTTTAGGAAATTAAGCCTTCTTTTATAAGGAGTAAGAATTAGGTTAGGCAAAATGGAAAATGGGTATGGGCTCAATGTTTTGGGCTATCCGAAATTGGGCATTTCCAATCCAAAATCTTAATTCTTTTATACAATTAATGTAAAAGCTATACTATAAAATACATAACTAACTCTAATTAATTAAAATAATAAGTATTATATTGTGAAACTATTTTTGGTATTTTTCAAGATTATATAAAAATAAAAAATAAAAAATAAAAATAGGTGAAAATAACATTACTACATTAAGTACTAATTAACCTTAAATTAAATGGACTTGAAATTATTTTTGTGTTTTTTGATTTTTTTTAAATACTAAATAACAATAAAATTATCGTATTAGAATCCTAGAAAAATTCAAATAACTCAAATAAATATATAAAATATGCGAAACTCTTAATATAGCTTGAAGACGTGGCGTGTCAAAAATTACATGTCTAGAGCTGCCCCTCTTTGACTGGAAATACGAAGTTTCAGACAAAGAACGACTAGACAGGTTTTTTGACCCGACCCTTATTTAAGGAGACCAAAAGCTAAGAGAAAAGAGAAGGTGACCGAGCCTTGGTATCTGAGCTGCCTACATATCCTTGGCTATAAAGGAATCAGACCACGTGTAGTTCAGAGGTGAGTGAGATGATGAATTACCAATGTGGAGAGCCGGTCGAGGTGCCTATCCTCTGAGGTTCTGGTCCGCGGTCCCATTATTACATCAAAATAAAAAATAAAAAAGACTAACTAAGCCTATCAGCTACGAGTTACAAGATTCCTATCTATGAGTCTTCTGAAGCTTGATCTTGAGTCTTGGTTGGTTCTTCATGCGGACCCTGATCTGAATCTTGATGTTTGTTAGCCGCAGGTGTTGGTTCAATCTTCTTCAGATTTTCAAACAAAGACGGGACATTCAGAGCTTGTGACCTCAGCCCTGTCTTGAGCAGCTCACATCTTTCATTAACTTCTACATTTGGATTCACTTCTTGTCTTTCTTTTTGTTTTTTTGTGTTTTTATCTGGATTGTGACTAACTTCTGTTGATCATCTAGGACTACTAACTCACATTCTTGATGCAAGCTTCTTTTGTTGCTGACCTGAATTGCATTCTGAATTGAATTCTTTTTTTTTTCCAAGTGGGTGCCTGATTGCTAAACTTGAACCGCCTTCTCTTGTTACTTGACACTATTTTTCCTTGCACCTTGAACCATTTTCCCTTGAAACTTGAACTGTCTTCCTTCGAAACTGCTTTCCCTTGAAACTTGATTTGTCTTCCTTCGACACTGATTTCCCTAGAAACTTGAGTTGCCTTCCCTTGTTCTCCAGGTGGGCGCCTGATTGCTGACTTGACCTATCTTCCTTCAAAACTTGAACCATTTTCCCTTGTTCTCCAGGTGGGCGCCTGATTGCTGACTTGACCTATCTTCCTTCAAAACTTGAACCATTTTCCCTTGTTCTCCAGGTGGGTGCCTGATTGCTGAAACTTTCTATGTTCCCTTGTTTTCCATGTGGGTGCCTGTAATCAAAACCAAAAAAAATAAATGAAATTTTCTACCTCAGTTTGCACTAGGAAAATTTGTGAGTTGTTAGAAATATTGTAAACCACTTATACTATTGATGCAATGATGAGTAAACTAAAGACTAGACTAGGATGTACGTCGCCTAAAAGTGATTGAGCTTGCGGAAAACTATAAACTAAGCTTGACTAAAGTAGAAACTGAACCTATTCTCTAGGCGGGACCCCTGATTTTTAAGAAAACAAAAAATTGACCCTATTTTTTTTCAAATCCAGACTTCCTTCTTTTTTCTTTTTTTTTCTTTTTTTTAAATTCAGACCTCCTTTTTTTAAAAAAAAATATTATCCTAGGAGAAAATTCATCAGATTAGGTTTTCTATCTTAGGAGAAGGATTCATCAGACTAAGATTTTGATCCTAGGAGAAAGTTCATCAGACTAGGTCTCTTTTCTACTTCTTTTGGTATCTTAGGAAAAAGATTCATCAGACTAAGATTTCTATCTTAGGAGAAAGTTCATTAGACTAGATCTTCTATCTTAGGAGAAAAATTCATCAGACTAAGATTGCGATCCTAGAAGAAGATTCATCAGACTAGGTTCTTTTTTTTGTTATCTTAGGAGAAAGATTCATCAGACTAAGATTTCTATCCTAGGAGAAAGTTCATCAGACTAGGTCTTCTATCTTAGGAGAAAGATTCATCAGACTAACATTTCTATCCTATGAGAAAATTCCTCAGACTAGGTTTTCTATCTTAGGAGAAAGATTCTATTAGACCAAGGCTTTTTATTCTAGGAGGAAAAATATGAGTACAATGGCAACATTTTATGCACATTAGCAAGACAAATAAAGGCAAAGATTTGAGAAACTTCCCTTTGTCGGTTCTTCTCTTCTCTTTTTTCCCTTTTTTTTCTTTTTTTTTCTCCTTTTTTTGAAACCACTTTCCTTGCACTGCTTTGTTCCTGTTCAAACAACGAAAATTTGTCAATTTTAAAAGTTGTGGTCGGTTTGTGGCCTTGAGTCTTGGGCAGCTTGGCTTTTACTCAATCGACTCGAGTTGGTCTCAAGAGACTTTTGCTCTGCATTAACCCTGTTTGTTTTACACCCTGTACCATTTGTATTTGTGGCTCAATCAGTCTTATCCCAACTGGAGATCTTTGCTTAGGTGATATTTTCTGATATCTTGAATGACTTCTTACTTTTTGAGCAACTTGTCTGTTAGAGAGAATCACCAGTTATCTTTGTTTGCGCCAAGCAGGCTGACAAGAGTATTTTGGGGGGGAGCTTTTGCATGAATCCTTAAGGCATGTTGACAGTAACAACTGAGTGTGCTGGCCAAATTCACTTTGTGCAACTGAAAAGCTGGTAGCAGACTTTAAAATCTTTTCTTGCTTGTTTTGACAAGGACCGACTCAGAGTGAAGGACAGAATGATGCAAATAAACAAGTATTACCATGCAATGCCCCTGTCGGAAGGACAGAAGGAAGAGTTCTTTTTTCCTTTTTTTTTCTTTTTTCTTTTTCAATAACTAGCCTTAATGATCATGACATGCATTTTGGACTTAACGGTCGATCTACCAAACTAATCCAATCTTCCCTTTTACCATTCTTATGACCTTTGATGTCGGGCTTGTTTATGCCAATTCTTCGCATCAGCTTCATGACTCACTTTCGACAAGTAGTGCCTGAGGATTTTTCACCAACAAGTCTCTCTCATTTATTCATCTCTGCTTACCGTCTCCTTACAATGCCCGTGAAGGTTTTCACTAGTAAGACTCTCTCATTTTTCTTTTTCTTTTTCTCACTTTTTGTGAGTAACTTGACAATGCTATATATCGTGTGACAACCGTTGCTCATTGCATGCTTTTCTTGGCATTCTTGAAGGCATATCGGGAGGTCTTTATTTGGAAGGATTTTGGATAGGGTTGGAAAGAAAGGACGTCATAAAGGCTCAAAATAGACTAAAAAATATGGGGTTGCAGACTTACAACTCTTGTAATCGACTCTTTCAAAAGTGAAATAAAATCTCTGCCCCAGTTTCAACTACTAGGGATTTTTTTTGAATTCTTATTTGGTTGGACCGAACCGTGAGGCTGCCTACGTATCCTTTTTAAAAGGAATAAGGTCTAACGTAGTTCAAACATCTGACCTAACTTTTTTTTCATCTATCTTTTTGTTTCTTTTCCTTTTTTTCAAAACAAGTTGCCCCAACTTCTATTTTCTGGGGGCATGGACCTTTTCCAGTTCTTTTCTATTGCCCCAGTTTGTACTCTTGGGACATGTACTTTTTGTTTTTGACTCTTGACTCTAAACTTGATTCCAAAAGAGGTGGTCAAAGAAAACAACACAGGCTCAAAAGGGGTAGCGAAGGATATAAAGTGTTTGTGTAGCAGAAAAAGGGCCTCTCAGCCTCGAGAATGCCAAACATAGTATCTTTTCGCGATCACAGCATTGATGAACATGACTGTCTTCTTGGTGTGTCGTGGTCACAAGACACTTTCCATCCCTTAGTGTCAAACTTTCCAACAAACTTCAATTGATTAAACATCCTCAAGCCCGATCTTCACAATGATTTGAAGGTGAATTTTACTCGACCTTAGTTCCAAAGTATTATAACTCTTTATTCATCCTCAAAAGTATTTTTTTAGTTATCAAATTCTAGATTAAATCAGTTCCTAAGATCTGGCCAAAATTTTCGCATGCATGTCATGTCATTAGAACTAGCGAGAAAAGAACTAGGAATAGAATGACACAAAAGGGCAAACTGTATTTTATTGAGTAAAGGATGAAAGGGTTTTACAACTAAACAAGCAACCTAAAATACGAGTTACAACCCTAAAATAACCCGAATAATGAAAATAGCAACAGAACAGACAGACAAGACTCACACAAATAGAATGGAGGGATAGAAGGGTTTGACTCAATAAAATAAATAAAATCTGGATCACAACCCTGAAATAACCCAGATAATAGAAAAAACGTCAAAACAAGCTACCAAGATTCTTTCCTAGTGAGGAGGGAATGACTTTTCAATTGCTAGGCTTGACATTTAGCCACAAATTTGTTCATCAGAATCAGTAGAGCCTTCTCTAATTTCAACATCATTAACTTCAGTTAGCAAGTTCCCAAGAGGATTCTCATACTCCATGTCACCAGGAATCATCCCCACAAAGTGTGCATCATGATGTGCAGGTAAAGGATTCTGCGCGATATTCTGGGTGTCACTGTCTTGGATCACAATCAGGTTTTCCTGGATCATCCTTTCTATTTCTCTTTTCAAATCCCGACAGCTTTCAACATTGTGCCCCTGGGCATTGGAATGGTATTCACACCTTTTAGAAGGGTCAAAACTTCTTGCACGGGGATCCACATGATTTGGAGGAATAGGTGCAATTATGTCATACTGCTTTAATTTCTCAAACAAGCTTGCATAAAACTCTCCTATTGGTGTAAAATTATCTTTCAGCC